CCTTAGACCGGCCCGTCGCCCTTAGACCGGCCCGTCGCCCCCACCTAGCCCGGCCCGTCGCCCCCCCTAGGCCCGGCCCGTAGCCCGTCGCCCCTGGCCCCGCGGCCCGTCGCCCCTAACCTAGGCCCTGGCCCGTCGCTCCTGGCCCCGCGGCCCGTCGCCCCTAGGCCCCGCGGCCCGTCGCCCGTCGCCCCTAGGCCCCGCGGCCCGTCGCCCCTAGCCTCCCGACCCGTCGCTCCTGGCCCCGCGGGCCGTCGCCCCTAGGCCTCGAGGCCCGTCGCCCCTAGGCCCCCCGCCCGTCACTCCCAGCCGTGCGGCCCGTCGCTCCTGGCCCCGCGGCCCGTCGCCCCTAGGCCCGCGGCCCTTCGCCCGTAGGCCCCGACCCGTCGCTCCTGGCCCCGCGCCCTGTCGCCCCTAGGCCCCCAGCCCATCGCCCCTAGGCCCGCGGCCCTTCGCCCCTAGGCCCCGACCCGTCGCTCCTTGAGTGGCTTGTTCGGCGAGCACGCATTCGGAGTGGAGCTGCCGGAGCTGGAACCACTGCAGACACAGGAGCTAGAGAGGCTGGAGTTGCTGCTGGAGCTGGTGGTACTGGAGGTACAGCGACTGCTGGTCCTGGAGGTGCTCGTACCAGGGGTACTGGAGCTGCCGGGACTGGTGGTGTTGGGGGTGCTAGAGCTGGAGGCCCTGCTGAGCCTGGAGCTCCTGGGGCTGGAGGTACTGGAGCTGGAGGCACTAGCGCGGGAGGCGCTAGAGCTGGAGGAGCTGGAGCTGGAGGCACTGGCGCTAGTGGCGCTGGAGCTGGAGGAGCTGGAGCTGGAGGTCCTGGCGCGGGAGGCGCTGGAGCTGGAGGAGCTGGAGCTGTTGACCCTGGAGCTGGAGGTGCTGGTGGTACTGGTGCTGGAGGCACTGTGCGGCCGCGACCGTACTTCATTCCCCAGCTTCTACTGGTCCTTGGTGTCCCGTCTTCTACTGGTCTTACTCCTCCCCTACTGTGTCCACCGCCTGACCAGTCGCAGCCGCCGTTACAGACAGTCTCCCCACTGCCTGCTCCTCCTTACATTGAGTAGTCCGGCGGTCTTACAGAGCGTCGTGAGCCTGCGTCTCGTCCTGTCTCGCATGTTCGCACTACTCCTCGCGTTCCTCATTCGCGTCCTCCTCCTGTCCCCGGCACGCACGCTATGACACTTCATCCTTCCTTTGTTCCACTGCGTGTTCCTCTGCCGCCTCCTCCTGAGTCCTCTCTTCTTGCCGTCCCTGACCTTGAGTCTGACCGCGCTCATGCTGGCAATCCCACTGTCTCTCGTCTCCTCGCCATTGTTGTCACTGACCCTTCTTTTGAGTCCACTACTGCGTCTGCCCTGGTTGCTGAGCTGCTTGACTTTGCTGCTGCCTGTCATCTAGACTACGCCACTGCTCTTGTTGCTGGGTCTGAGTCTGTCAGTCCTCCGTCCGTCGGGGGTGAGTGTGCTCTTGGCACGGACGTCCTTGAGGACAGGCAGGAGGACTTTGAGTGTCTTGCAGCTGCTGTACCTCGTTTTGCTTCCATGCTGCTTGCCCCTGAGGGAGACCCGGATGAACCAGACATCCCGACCCCGCGCTCTTACGCAGAGGCGATTACAGGTCCCTACTCCTCTCAGTGGCAGGCAGCCATGGATGCCGAGATGGCATCCTGGAAGTCCACAAGCACCTACGTCGACGCAGTTCCCCCGTCTCGGGCGAACATAGTCGATGGCATGTGGATGTTCAGGGTGAAGCGGCCGCCCGGTTCTCCGCCTGCCTTCAAGGCGCGTTACGTTGCTAGAGGCTTCAGACAGCGACAGGGGGTCGACTACTTCCAGACCTTCTCCCCCACCCCGAAGATGACTACTCTTCGGGTGTTGCTGCATGTCGTTGCTCAGCGTGACTACGAGTTGCACTCTCTGGACTTCAGCACAGCTTTCTTGCTGGGCAGCCTGCACGAGGAGATCTGGCTGCGCCGCCCACCTGGCTTCACTGGGACGTTTCCTGCAGGTACTCAGTGGAGCCTCCGGCGACCAGTCTACGGTCTCCGCCAGGCACCTCGCGAGTGGCACGACACACTGAGGACTACACTTGCGGCTCTTGGGTTTACTCCTTCTACTGCTGACCTGTCGCTGTTTCTACGCACCGACACATCACTGCCGACGTTCTACGTCCTCGTGTAAGTCGACGACCTCGTCTTTGCCACTGCTGACATTGAGGCACTGACCCTTGTGAAGTCGGAGCTGTAGAAGAGACACACCTGCACTGACCTGGGTGAACTGCGCAGCTATCTTGGCTTGTAGATCACCCGGGACAGAGCACGGCGCACCATCACACTGACTCAGTCACACATGGTGCACCAGGTCCTTCAGCGCTTCGGCTTCCAGTTCTCCTCGCCACAGCCCACTCCTCTGTCTACCAGCCACTCGCTCTCAGCTCCACCTTCAGACGAGTCCGTAGAGCCGAGTGGTCTGTACCCAGAGGTTGTGGGTTGCCTCATGTACTTGATGACGTGCACTCGACCTGACCTCGCGTACCCTCTCAGCCTTCTGGCTCGCTACGTGGCTCCCGGTAGGCACCGAAAGGTGCACTGGGATGCTGCGAAGAGGGTACTGCATTACTTGTGCAGTACGTCGGGCATGGGGCTTGTGCTTGGAGGACGGGGTCCAGTTGTCCTCACTGGTCACACAGACGCTTCTTGGGTTGACGACTTGGCTACGCAGCGGTCGTCACAGGGTTACACCTTCAACCTCGGTTCTGGCTCTGTTTCCTGGCGGTCTACTCGCTCGTCTTCGGTTCTCAGCTCCAGTTGTGAGGCTGAGATCTACGCAGGGGCGATGGCTGCACAGAAGCTGCGCTAGCTCACCTACCTGCTGACTGACTTGGGAGAGCAGCCTCGTTCGCCTCCGGTTTTGTACGTCGACAATAAGACCATGATCGCCTTGTGTCAGGAGCACAGACTGGAGCACCGAACGAAGCACATTGCTCTGCGATACTTCCTTGCTCGAGAGTTGCAGCAGCGTGGCCAGCTTCGTCTTGCGTACGTGGCCACTAGGGCCAACACTGCTGATATATTCACCAAGGCACTTCCGCCTGGTGATCATCAGCGCTTCTCTACTGTGTTAGGCCTTTTGCCTACTTTGCCTCACTTGCTCACTGCTTGACTCTGCTTGTACTGTGATCTATATATATACCACCATGCTTACACTTGCTAGGGTATGATCACTGTATTGTTTGTTCTCTTTTATATTACTCTGCATGTGAACTGGCCTTGTGGCCCTTTGCTTGTGCCCGGACTGTGTGGTGACTTTGTGATCCACCCTGAGCTTGCTTTGCTTTTCTTGACTGGTCTTGTGACCCCCTTGTTCTCTCCCACTTTGCCTATGGGGGTTTGTCAGAACATTATAGTGCTTACATTTGTGTAGGCTATTGTGGGGTAGCCCATAAGGGGTACAACCCAATTAGGGTTAGTACTTGTACCCAACTTTTTGCTAGTTCATTCATTCTCGTTCGTTCTTCTGACAGGCGAAGTTATGGAGCTAGCTGTTAAGGTCAAGGGAACGTGGGCGTAAGGAAGGTGTGGAGCTAGAAGGAGGTTGAAAGTGAAACGAGATGGTGAAAATGAGGAGCAAAGTCACCATCCACAAAGAAGAGGGAGGCGGTGTCCCACTAGGCCAGTTGGGCATCACCAATGGCTATGGGGCCAGGCTCGAAGGGGCTCGGAGGCCGCATGCACAAGTGGTACAGGTGGTTCGTCTCCGCGGTGCCATGTCGATCTCGCGTCCATTGGAGGAGGTCGGTGAGGGGACGCAATGTCGCATGCGCGCGGCGCCTACCCTTGTGAGACATGTGTCATTTTTGCATCGGGTCGCGAGAATGTCGTGTGCCGCGAAGATTGCACACAAATTTTTGCCGGGTACGAAATTTCGCATGCACCCGATGCGAAGCCACGGGCGAACACGTGGCGTCACCGCATCGGGTCGCGAAATTTTCGTCCGTCCCGAGGGAAGCCCTCAAATTTCGCATGGCCCTCGCCTGCCCGGCCGGGCAGGTCGCGAGGGTCACTAGGACTTCGCGGGCAGGGGGGACGGGTGGGCTGCCTTCGCGCTAGGGTTACTTTCCCACGTGCGAGGGCTCGCCAGCTCGCCGCCCCCACCCGGAAACGTGGGTCGCTGTTCAATTTCGGAGCGGGGTTGCGGGGCGGCGGTCGTGCGCTCGGCCCAGCCCTGGGCCAGGCTGGCGGGCCCGTACGCGCGTCAGTTGCCCGCCTCGACAGCCCCGGCTCCGACGACCCCTCTCGATGACACTGGCTAATCGGTTCCGATGACCGAATTACGCTGAGATGTTTGATATTGAACCAATACACACTCAGGGTGCGTCAGACTCGTCTTCGCTGGGGTCGACTTCGTTCTCCGTAACCATTTTGAAAATGGTAACCGTGTCAATCTAGAAACCGGGAAGAAGATGTGTTCGCTTTTCAAACCTTAACGAGCGCAAGCCCATACGACATCCCGTTTGTGGGTCGGCTGTCCCCGAAAGAATTATGAACTGCGGTGCTAGATCGAGACCTGCTGGGGTACTCGGACATGGTTACCGCTTTTCGCCGTTCGTCTATTTAGACCATCGTTTACCCCTGACGAAGCTTATCAAAGTCGCAAATAAAAAGCGTCCAAGAAATTTGTTTGTCTGGGCAGGACGTGTGTCTGTCTGCTGCCCCGACAACACTGCATGCTTTTGGTTCGGAATAAATGCTTGTCATCTGAGTAGTCAGGATGACCCCTGACCACTCGAAGTAATGCCCACATCCATGCGGATTCCGAACCATGAACGGATGAGAAACATGTGCGTGTCACACTTACCATTGCAGCAACTGCTGGCGACGATTTGTGGGCGTACCGCATGGTTGCGTGCGTACCTCCAGGACCGGTTTTCTCTGTCGGAAAAGGATCCCAAGCGTGCAGGGGAATCCTCGGGTCGCTTACTGCCAACTCCGCCCATACATGGACCGACAACCGCGCCACAGGTCGCCCCACGCCGCCAGCGGGCTGCCTAATCGCGCTGCGCGCTCCAGCGCCGCCGCCAGCGGTGGCGACGGCGTCTTCGGTGAAACCGTTAGCCGCGGCGACGGGGCTGCGCGCGATGCGGACTTGACGCCCGCGCGGTTGGCGGAGATGGCGGAGCGACGGCAGTTGGCGCAACTGAGGGAATTGGATGATATGGCGCTGGAAGAGGAAGGGGAGGACGAGGGGGGGCACGGCAGGGGACGGGGCAGAGGGTGGCGCATGTCCATGGGCGCGCTGGGAGGCGCCGTGGCGGAGAGCTCGCTCGTGGAGAGCGCGGAGGGCGAGGCGAGCGAGAGGCGTGCAGCGGCGGGCACGTGGCGGGCGAGTGGGGAGACAGTGGAAGGGGAGGGGATGGGCGAGAGGGATGCGGAGGGGAGGCGGGCAACAGCAGGGGATTCGGCGGGGGAAGGCTCGGGGAAGGCGTTATGTGGTGCAGGTAGTGACGGGAGAGGAGGAAGGAAGCATGGGGTGATGGAGCAGGGAGAGGAGGGAGAGGAGGGAACGGAAGAGGAATTAGATGAAGGGGAGGTGCGAGGCGAGGAGCAGATGGGGGAGGGAAGCGAGGATGGAGAGGTGGAGGCGAGGGGTGGCGAGGAGGGAGCAGCTGACTGTGTGCGGTGCAATGAGGTGGGGCAGGGCAGTGGCGCGGTGCAGAGAGGCATGGACGAAGGGGAGAGGCAGGGGGAACGCGGCATAAGAGGGGCGAGGCGGCAGCAGCAGAGACAGAGGAGGCAAGCGGTTCGAGGAGAGGAGGGAGAAGGGGAGAGAATGAGAGAGGGAGAGGAGGTTGTGGCGCGGGGGAGGGACGGCGCAGCTCAGAGAGAGGAGGCGAGGGGGATGGGGAGAGGTGCGAGGGAGGGGGCGGCGAGGGGAGGCGTGCAGGTGAGGGGAGGCGAGGTGGGGGCGGCAGAGAGAGCTCAGGTGCAGCAGATATGCGCGGTGGAGGGGGAGGAGCTGGAGGAGGAAGAGGAGGAGGAGGAGGGAGACGTGGGGGAGGCGCGCAGGAGTGCAAGTGAGCGGCGAAGACGAGCGTCATGGCGTGGCAGTGGGCGGGGCAGCAGCAGGGGCACACATGGGGGCGTGCAGGCAGGTGAAGGCAGGGGTGGAGAAGGGGGGGAGGGGGGAGGGAGTGGGGATGGCTCTGCAGCACAGCAGCAGATGGTGCAGACGTCATGGCAAGGGGATGAGGCAGGTGTGTGGGGCGGTGCAGAGGGTGGTGGAGGTGCCGGAAGGGGTGATGGCGTCGGTGGAGGAGGAGCAGGAGGTGGCAGGGGGGGTGCGATGGCGGTGGTGGTGAGTGCGGTGGAACGGCAGCAGATCGAGCGCATCCTGGCCATCCAGGGGGAGGAGCTGGAGGAGGAGGAGATGGGCGAGGAGGACGAGGCGGAGGAGGAGGAGGAAGAGAGGGGCCGGGCAGCAGGGGGCGAGGCGAGGCAGCATGTGTTGAGCTCCAGCGACAGCGATGACCCCAGGTGCCACGTGCCTCAGGTGCCACATGCCTCAGGTGCCACATGCCTCAGGTGCCACATGCCTCAGGTGCCACATCACCCTCAGGTGCCACATCACCCTCAGGTGCCACATCGCCCTCAGCTGCCACATCACCCTCAGCTGCCACATCACCCTCAGGTGCCACATCACCCTCAGGTGCCACATCACCCTCAGGTGCCACATCACCCTCAGGTGCCACATCACCCTCAGCTGCCACATCACCCTCAGGTGCAAAGATAACACCCTTTCTTGGTACGAGATGAGCAAGCATTAGAATGCCATAATTGCTACAGCACTGTCCCATCCCACCGTCAGATTTGATCTTATCTCATCCGTGCATCATCTATGCATGCAGGGGCGACGGAAGCGCGTTGAGGATGCACGGAGGACTCACATTTGATCCAGCCATCACATCGCTGCACACATACCTTGGAGGTACGGCCATGGTGCATGGTGCAAGGCACATGGCGCATTGTGCATGGTGCATGGTGCATGGTGCATGGTGCATGGTGCTGTTCTACCTCCAAGGTATGCCTCCAAGGTATGCCTCCAAGGTATGCCTCCAAGGTATGCCTCCAAGGTATGCCTCCAAGGTATGCCTCCAAGGTATGCCTCCAAGGTATGCCTCCAAGGTATGCCTCCAAGGTATGCCTCCAAGGTATGCCTCCAAGGTATGCCTCCAAGGTATGCCTCCAAGGTATGCCTCCAAGGTATGCCTCCAAGGTATGCCTCCAAGGTATGCCTCCAAGGTATGCCTCCAAGGTATGCCTCCAAGGTATGCCTCCAAGGTATGCCTCCAAGGTATGCCTCCAAGGTATGCCTCCAAGGTATGCCTCCAAGGTATGCCTCCAAGGTATGCCTCCAAGGTATGCCTCCAAGGTATGCCTCCAAGGTATGCCTCCAAGGTATGCCTCCAAGGTATGCCTCCAAGGTATGCCTCCAAGGTATGCCTCCAAGGTTTGCCTCCAAGGTATGCCTCCAAGGTATGCCTCCAAGGTATGCCTCCAAGGTATGCCTCCAAGGTATGTCTCCAAGGTATGCCTCCTACAAGTTATGCCTCCAAGGTATGCCTCCAAGGTATGTCTCCAAGGCCATTCAGCCCGCCCTTCCCTACGCCTCCATGCCCTTCCCTACGCCTCCATGCCCTTCCCTACGCCTCCATGCCCTTCCCTACGCCTCCATGCCCTTCCCTACGCCTCCATGCCCTTCCCTACGCCTCCATGCCCTTCCCTACGCCTCCATGCCCTTCCCTACGCCTCCATGCCCTTCCCTACGCCTCCATGCCCTTCCCTACGCCTCCATGCCCTTCCCTACGCCTCCATGCCTTTCCCTTCCCTCCCATGCCCTTCCCTACGCCTCCATGCCCTTCCCTACGCCTCCATGCCCTTCCCTACGCCTCCATGCCCTTCCCTACGCCTCCATGCCCTTCCCTACGCCTCCATGCCCTTCCCTACGCCTCCATGCCCTTCCCTACGCCTCCATGCCCTTCCCTACGCCTCCATGCCCTTCCCTACGCCTCCATGCCCTTCCCTACGCCTCCATGCCCTTCCCTACGCCTCCATGCCCTTCCCTACGCCTCCATGCCCTTCCCTACGCCTCCATGCCCTTCCCTACGCCTCCATGCCCTTCCCTACGCCTCCATGCCCTTCCCTACGCCTCCATGCCCTTCCCTACGCCTCCATGCCCTTCCCTACGCCTCCATGCCCTTCCCTACGCCTCCATGCCCTTCCCTACGCCTCCATGCCCTTCCCTACGCCTCCATGCCCTTCCCTACGCCTCCATGCCCTTCCCTACGCCTCCATGCCCTTCCCTACGCCTCCATGCCCTTCCCTACGCCTCCATGCCCTTCCCTACGCCTCCATGCCCTTCCCTACGCCTCCATGCCCTTCCCTACGCCTCCATGCCCTTCCCTACGCCTCCATGCCCTTCCCTACGCCTCCATGCCCTTCCCTACGCCTCCTATGCCCTTCCCTACGCCTCCATGCCCTTCCCTACGCCTCCATGCCCTTCCCTACGCCTCCATGCCCTTCCCTACGCCTCCATGCCCTTCCCTACGCCTCCATGCCCTTCCCTACGCCTCCATGCCCTTCCCTACGCCTCCATGCCCTTCCCTACGCCTCCATGCCCTTCCCTACGCCTCCATGCCCTTCCCTACGCCTCCATGCCCTTCCCTACGCCTCCATGCCCTTCCCTACGCCTCCATGCCTTTCCCTTCCCTCCCATGCCCTTCCCTACGCCTCCATGCCCTTCCCTACGCCTCCATGCCCTTCCCTACGCCTCCATGCCCTTCCCTACGCCTCCATGCCCTTCCCTACGCCTCCATGCCCTTCCCTACGCCTCCATGCCCTTCCCTACGCCTCCATGCCCTTCCCTACGCCTCCATGCCCTTCCCTACGCCTCCATGCCCTTCCCTACGCCTCCATGCCCTTCCCTACGCCTCCATGCCCTTCCCTACGCCTCCATGCCCTTCCCTACGCCTCCATGCCCTTCCCTTCCCTCCCATGCCCTTCCCTACGCCTCCATGCCCTTCCCTTCCCTCCCGTGCCCTTCCTTACCCTCCCTCCTCTCCACTTACTCCACCTACGTGCCCGTACCTGAGTGGAGCCGGCCTGTCATGTCAGCATCACTTTCCATCACTCTGCACCGTGCTGTCATCACACTGCACCAAGCTGCCATCCCTCTGCACCGTGCTGCCCTGTGTGTCCTTCACTGTTCGCTGCGTGCGCCGCCCATGCCCTATGTGCCGCCCCCATGCCCTATGTGCCGCCCATGCCGTATGTGCCTCCCATGGACTCATTGCAGCATGCGACCTCCATGCACACCCCCGTCTCTCACATGCTCTCCTTCTCAAATGCTTCGCCCGCCTCCACCTCCCACCAGGCATCGTGCTGTTTCCCGAGCAGACGCGGGTAGAAGCAGGGTGCAAGGAGCACATGTCGGGGCTGGAAGGACCCACCTCTGCCAAGGTGAGCGAGTAGCGAGTACGTGGGGGTTCAAGGCCACTTTCAGGGAAGGGAAGATGAGAGGGGGTAGAAGCAGGGTGCAAGGAGCACATGTCGGGGCTGGAAGGGTGCAGCAGGCGCGGTTCAGGGCGGCCGTGACCCGCGCCATGGGGGCCACCGGGCAGGCCGCCCACCTGCTGGGCGTGGTGAGGAGTGGGGCAGCACATGGTGGGGCCGCACATGGTGGGGCAGCACATGGTGGGGCCGCACATGGTGGGGGTGGAGATATTGGGTGATTACATTTGGGTGGCGTTGGGACGAAAGGCAATGTGGAGTTGAGGGGCGTCGAGTTGATTGAATGTCAAGTAATGCCGTTGCTGCATGCTGCAGGCCTTCATATGTTAAGGATGAGTGGACGGATTTCTCTTTCTTTCATGTGTGTACGGGCGTGTGAAAATGTATGTTTGCACGTGTGTGTGTGTGGGGGGGGGGGAGGTGGGGGTGTGTGTGTGGGGGGGGGGGGGGGGGGGGGGTGAGTGGGTGTGTGTGTGTGTGTGTGTGGGTGTGCATGCATGTGTGCATGGTTGCATGTGTGCATGGTTGCATGTGTGCATGGTTGCATGTGTGCATGGTTGCATGTGTGCATGGTTGCATGTGTGCATGGTTGCATGTGTGCATGGTTGCAAGCAGGTGCATGTGCACATGGACCCGCATGGGTTTGACATCCGAGTGGCATCGGTGGGCACAACAGCAGAGGTGGGCACAACAGCAGAGGTGCGGCACAACAGCAGAGGTGGGCACAACAGCAGAGGTGCGGCACAACAGCAGAGGTGGGCACAACAGCAGAGGTGGGCACAACAGCAGAGGTGGGCACAACAGCAGAGGTGCGGCACAACAGCAGAGGTGGGCACAACAGCAGAGGTGGGCACAACAGCAGAGGTGCGGCACAACAGCAGAGGTGCGGCACAACAGCAGAGGTGCGGCACAACAGCAGAGGTGGGCACAACAGCAGAGGTGGGCACAACAGCAGAGGTGCGGCACAACAGCAGAGGTGCGGCACAACAGCAGAGGTGGGCACAACAGCAGAGGTGGGCACAACAGCAGAGGTGCGGCACAACAGCAGAGGTGCGGCACAACAGCAGAGGTGGGCACAACAGCAGAGGTGCGGCACAACAGCAGAGGTGCGGCACAGCAGCAGAGGTGCGGCACAACAGCAGAGGTGGGCACAACAGCAGAGGTGGGCACAACAGCAGAGGTGCGGCACAACAGCAGAGGTGCGGCACAACAGCAGAGGTGGGCACAACAGCAGAGGTGGGCACAACAGCAGAGGTGTGGCACAACAGCAGAGGTGCGGCACAACAGCAGAGGTGGGCACAACAGCAGAGGTGGGCACAACAGCAGAGGTGGGCACAACAGCAGAGGTGCGGCACAACAGCAGAGGTGCGGCACAACAGCAGAGATGCGGCACAACAGCAGAGGTGGGCACAACAGCAGAGGTGGGCACAACAGCAGAGGTGGGCACAACAGCAGAGGTGGGCACAACAGCAGAGGTGGGCACAACAGCAGAGGTGCGGCACAACAGCAGAGGTGGGCACAACAGCAGAGGTGGGCACAACAGCAGAGGTGCGGCACAACAGCAGAGGTGCGGCACAACAGCAGAGGTGGGCACAACAGCAGAGGTGGGCACAACAGCAGAGGTGGGCACAACAGCAGAGGTGCGGCACAACAGCAGAGGTGCGGCACAACAGCAGAGGTGGGCACAACAGCAGAGGTGGGCACAACAGCAGAGGTGCGGCACAACAGCAGAGGTGGGCACAACAGCAGAGGTGGGCACAACAGCAGAGGTGGGCACAACAGCAGAGGTGGGCACAACAGCAGAGGTGCGGCACAACAGCAGAGGTGCGGCACAACAGCAGAGGTGCGGCACAACAGCAGAGGTGGGCACAACAGCAGAGGTGGGCACAACAGCAGAGGTGCGTCACAACAGCAGAGGTGCGGCACAACAGCAGAGGTGGGCACAACAGCAGAGGTGGGCACAACAGCAGAGGTGGGCACAACAGCAGAGGTGGGCACAACAGCAGAGGTGCGGCACAACAGCAGAGGTGCGGCACAACAGCAGAGGTGGGCACAACAGCAGAGGTGGGCACAACAGCAGAGGTGGGCACAACAGCAGAGGTGCGGCACAACAGCAGAGGTGCGGCACAACAGCAGAGGTGCGGCACAACAGCAGAGGTGGGCACAACAGCAGAGGTGGGCACAACAGCAGAGGTGCGGCACAACAGCAGAGGTGCGGCACAACAGCAGAGGTGGGCACAACAGCAGAGGTGGGCACAACAGCAGAGGTGGGCACAACAGCAGAGGTGGGCACAACAGCAGAGGTGCGGCACAACAGCAGAGGTGCGGCACAACAGCAGAGGTGCGGCACAACAGCAGAGGTGGGCACAACAGCAGAGGTGGGCACAACAGCAGAGGTGCGTCACAACAGCAGAGGTGCGGCACAACAGCAGAGGTGGGCACAACAGCAGAGGTGGGCACAACAGCAGAGGTGGGCACAACAGCAGAGGTGGGCACAACAGCAGAGGTGCGGCACAACAGCAGAGGTGCGGCACAACAGCAGAGGTGGGCACAACAGCAGAGGTGGGCACAACAGCAGAGGTGGGCACAACAGCAGAGGTGCGGCACAACAGCAGAGGTGCGGCACAACAGCAGAGGTGCGGCACAACAGCAGAGGTGGGCACAACAGCAGAGGTGGGCACAACAGCAGAGGTGCGGCACAACAGCAGAGGTGCGGCACAACAGCAGAGGTGGGCACAACAGCAGAGGTGGGCACAACAGCAGAGGTGCGGCACAACAGCAGAGGTGCGGCACAACAGCAGAGGTGGGCACAACAGCAGAGGTGCGGCACAACAGCAGAGGTGCGGCACAACAGCAGAGATGCGGCACAACAGCAGAGGTGGGCACAACAGCAGAGGTGGGCACAACAGCAGAGGTGGGCACAACAGCAGAGGTGGGCACAACAGCAGAGGTGGGCACAACAGCAGAGATGCGGCACAACAGCAGAGGTGGGCACAACAGCAGAGGTGGGCACAACAGCAGAGGTGCGGCACAACAGCAGAGGTGCGGCACAACAGCAGAGGTGGGCACAACAGCAGAGGTGGGCACAACAGCAGAGGTGGGCACAACAGCAGAGGTGCGGCACAACAGCAGAGGTGCGGCACAACAGCAGAGGTGGGCACAACAGCAGAGGTGGGCACAACAGAAGAGGTGCGGCACAACAGCAGAGGTGCGGCACAACAGCAGAGGTGGGCACAACAGCAGAGGTGGGCACAACAGCAGAGGTGCGTCACAACAGCAGAGGTGCGGCACAACAGCAGAGGTGCGGCACAACAGCAGAGGTGGGCACAACAGCAGAGGTGGGCACAACAGCAGAGGTGGGCACAACAGCAGAGGTGCGGCACAACAGCAGAGGTGCGGCACAACAGCAGAGGTGCGGCACAACAGCAGAGGTGGGCACAACAGCAGAGGTGCGGCATGCATGTGTGTATTCACAACCTTGCAAGCCAGCGGATGCACCAGGGCACAGCTGCCACAGCTGCTACAGCTGCCACAGCTGCCATGCACCTCTCAGTCCTGCCCACTGCCTTGTCGCCCCTGGGTTCGCGTCTGTCCCCCATTGCTCAGATCCGGCGGGTGAGGCAGCAGGAGGACGGCAGCATGAGTGTGGTGACGAGGGGTCGCCAGCGCTTCCTCGTGTGCCGCGCCTGGATGGACCCCGACGGCTCCGTGCGCCCCCCCAACCCCTGCCCCCTGCCCCCTGCCGCCCTGCCCCTCCTCTCTCTGCCCCCTGCCGCCCTGCCCCTCCTCTCTCTGCCCCCTGCCGCCCTGCCCCTTCTCTCTCTGCCGCTGCCGCCCTGCCCCTCCTCTCTCTGCAGGTGCATTCTCTGCGCCCAGTGTGTGCCGTGCTCCGTCTGTGTGCCGTGCTCCATCTGTGTGCGGTGCTCCATCTGTGTGCCGTGCTCCATCTGTGTGCCGTGCTCCATCTGTGTGCCATGCTCCATCTGTGTGCCGTGCTCCATCTGTGTGCCGTGCTCCATCTGTGTGCCGTGCTCCATCTGTGTGCCGTGCTCCATCTGTGTGCCGTGCTCCATCTGTGTGCCGTGCTCCATCTGTGTGCCGTGCTCCATCTGTGTGCCGTGCTCCATCTGTGTGCCGTGCTCCATCTGTGTGCCGTGCTCCATCTGTGTGCCGTGCTCCATCTGTGTGCCGTGCTCCATCTGTGTGCCGTGCTCCATCTGTGTTCCGTGCTCCATCTGTGTGCTGCTGCATTCAAGTGCATACGACCTTCCAGCCTTGCCTATACACTCCCATTTCTCTATAGCTATTGCTGTCTTTGCCTTTATTCAGGCCCTTCGACGCCTGTTGCTCGTCACTGCCTTGTTGCTTATGCTCCTTGTTCATCATCATTCTCACCGCCCCCCTACCATCTCCCTTCGCCTATTCCCGTTCCTTCCCAACCCTCCCCGTCCCCTTTCTCACGGCCGTGTTTCAGACTCTTGACCAAGGCAGTTCGTGTTCCCCAAGCCGTCCTGCTCCCTCTGCCCCCCCTGCGCCCCTTCCCGCCCCCCATCACCCCGTGCAGCCGGCAGCGGAGGTGCAGATTCTCGAGGACGCCACCCCCCTGCGCCTGCCAGCTGGCGCCTTCTCCCGCTGCCGTGGCATGCGGGCGGCACCCTCCAGCTGCATGCGAGACGTGGTGGGTGGCAGGGGGAGAGAGGGGGCGAGGGTTGCAGAGCAGGGCGGTGAGGGTGGTGAGCAGGGCAGGGCCATGGTGATGGCAGACAGGGGTGAGCAGCATGGGCACAGCACAGGGGCTGCTGCAGGGGATGATGGGCGTGGAGGGAGAGGAGAGCGGATCAGGGGAGGACGTGGAGTGAATGGGAGGAGGGGGAGTGAGGAGGAAAGAGTGAGGCGACGGGAGGAGAGGAGGAGGGAGCTGGTGAGGAGGCTTATAGAGCAAGGTGACCACATGGAGGGCGAGGAGGGAGGGTGGATGGAGGAGGAGGAGGAGGAAGAAGGAGAGGAGGAAGAGGAGGGACAAGAGGAAGAAGACGAGGAGGAGGAAGAGGAGGAGGAGGAGGATGAGGAGGAGGAGTCACAAGGAGACGATGGGGAAGGAGAGGGGCGGGTTAGGGAGGGGCGCAGGGGAGGGGGGCGGTGGTGGCAGCGATGGGTGGCGCCCCTGAGGCGCAGAGAGGGGGGACGAGATGGGGCACGGGCGAGAGCGGGGCAGGAGCGCGGTGGAGGGGAAGCGAGTAGGGGAGGAGGAAGGGGGGCTGACAGTGACAGCAGCGAGGTCCTGGGTGGTGGGGGTGATGGAGATGAGCGGGGAGAGGAAGGAGTGGAAGGAGACGTGCGACTGAGCAGACTCCTGGGGCTGTTTGGAGTGCAGGAGGGTGAAGCGAGGGAGGATAGCGGAGGGAATGAGGGAGAGGAGGAGGGGAGGTGGGGGGAGGGGAGGGGAGATCAAGGAAGCGCAGGCAGCAGGAGGAAGAGGACAAGGTGGGAGGCATGGGGAGGGGCAGCGGAGCGGTGGGCAATGGGGGAGGTGCGGTGGAGGAGGAGGGCGGCGTGGGCGGCGTGGCCTCACTGGGTGTACCGCATGTTCAATGCCTTCAATCTGGCCAGGCGCGTGGCAGGTGAGGCGCGTGGCAGGTGAGGCGCGTAGCAGGTGAGGCGCGTAGCAGGTGAGGCGCACTCCGAACATCATGTTGAGTCGTTGTGATTCTCTTTTGACTTTCCAAATCAACACTTGGGTTTGGTGGTGTGCCCCTTATTGGGGTGGACGTCTCTGTGGTACGGTGACACAAGCAAGAGACGAGACGGGCAAGGCCAGGCTCGAGCACGAAAGGTATGAACAGAGTAGGGATGGGACAAGTGATAAGTGAGAGGAGGTCAAGGCTCCTACGCGCTTCAGAGATGGTCTGGACCAATTGGGTTGAAGACGTTGGGAGTGGGTGATGCTCAAGCAGTGATGGAAATGTCAACAAGAGTATCACCCACTCATAACAATGAATGTACAAGTGAGGCTGTAGTTTATGTGTAACGAGCTTCTGTGGTCATCATGGGCATGTTCTGTGGTCATCATGGGCATGTTCTGTGGTCATCATTGGCATGTTCTGTGGTCATCATGGGTATGTTCTGTGGTCATCATGGGCATGTTCTGTGGTCATCATTGGCATGTTCTGCCTGCCCTTTACCTCCTCCCTCCCAACTGCATCTTATTCTCGCGCTTGTATCCTCCCCCCCGGGCCAGACATGTACGGGCAGCTGCTACCAGCGCAGGCGCAGCAGCTGCAGGGGCTCACACGGACGCCGGAGGCACTGTCGTTTGTGGTGGCGGCCAACATGCCCATCAGCGACCGCCACCGTCTGCACCTGCTGCAGGTGTGCCCTCCTCACCGCCTGCACCTGCTGCAGGTGTGCCATCCTCACCGCCCTCTGCCACTTACCAATGTCACACGCTCTTGTGCTGTTTTGCCTTGATTGCTACTCAAGTAGCATGCTCATGCTACCTGAATGCTGGCCATCGTATCGTTCATGTTGAGCGGGAGTGGGTGACGTGAGTGTGCTATGCATGAGTGCAGGTGGGGTCGACGGTGTACCGGCTGCAGAAGCAGATTCGCCTGCTTGAGTGCATCGACCACCTCCTCTGCTCCACCTGCCGGGTACGCCTCTTCTCCACCTGCCTTCCATGCATCAGCTTGGATGTGCTGGGCATGAGAAATTTACACCGAAGCAACCTAAACCAATCTGAGAACAGATTGTTGAAACCTAAACCCCAAATCAATTCTAGCAACTAAGCAGCCTATCGTCTGGAAACAGCGGTCTTATCATGCCAGGTGTGTTGCAGGCATCACACATTCCAGTTGTGATGAAGTACGGTACGTACGTAACCATGCTTGGCAGCTTTCAGTGCTCTCTGCTGCTTTCAAACTCAACTTTCCTCTCTCCCTCGTCTTCCCATTTCCTCCATTGTTTGCGCATTGAAACGCCTCCCCGCTCTCAAATGGCGTGCAGGCACAGTGCACTGCGCGTGTGACCTGCCGCCACCGCATCCTCCCCACACGTCTCCTTCTTCCATCCCCCTCTCTTCCCTTCCCCCCTCTCCCTATGCAAGAGGCAGTGTCGGGTGGCGAGGCGCAGTGACATGTTGTGTATGAGCACGGAGGGCGCCATCAGCGCCTTCGTGAACGCGCATGGCTTTGTGCACGAGACGCTCACTTTCTCGCGCGCCAGAGGGCTCGTGCTGGAGGGCAGTGCGGAGACGGAGAACAGCTGGTTCCCGGGGTAAGCCAAATGAGAACAGCTGGTTCCTGGGGTAAGCCAAATGAGAACAGCTGGTTCCTGGGGTAAGCCAAATGAGAACAGCTGGTTCCTGGGGTAAGCCAAATGAGAACAGCTGGTTCCCGGGGTAAGCCAAATGAGAACAGCTGGTTCCCGGGGTAAGCCAAATGAGAACAGCTGGTTGCATGGGCAAGGTCGTGTGGTGAGCGTGCATGGGTGCATGCTTGCATGGCGGTTTCCTTTCTTTCTTTCTCCACATTCGTGTTCGGTCTGGTCACGTCACGGCACCTTGGCAGGACATTAGATTCACAACACACAGCATCACACAGCACAGCATCACACCGCACAGCATCACACAGCACAGCATCACACCGCACAGCATCACACAGCACAGCATCACACAGCACAGCATCACACAGCACTCCATCTTGTTGAACCCATGTACTCCTGCTGCATCTCCTTCGTCCTTGTTCCATCCTCTCTCCATGCACCACACGCCACTCCCCTGAAACTTTTCAAGTGCGCATCTGTGCTGCACTGCAGCGCACTCCCCAACTTATCAACTTCTCCCTCTCCCCGCCTTGCGCTGTACCCCCTTTGTCGTGTCGCCTCGCACCTGACCGCCCCACCGCTCCCCACCCTCCGGCACTGGCGCAGGTACGCGTGGACCATAGCACACTGTGGGCGCTGCGGCATGCACGTGGGGTGGCGCTTCACGGCTGTGCGCCGCGGCCTCAACCCGCCCGCCTTCTGGGGCGTGCGCCGCGCACAGCTCACTGCTGACACCACCCAGGCCGACGCTGATCTTGATGCCTGAACCTGAATCGCACCCCCGCTTGTGCCTGGTGCTGCAGCTGCTTTCCAGCACTCCCCAGTCCATCTCAAGCTTATGTCTCTTGTTGTTCTTGTGAATAAAGGACTGCTGAAGAAGCGAACACGCAATCCAACACGCAATCCAACGCGCGATCCAACACGCGATTCAACATGCGCGATCCATCCAACGCGCGATATATCCAACGCACGATCGATCCAGCGCGCGATCCAATGGCGATCCAACGCGCGATCCAATGCGCAATCCAACACGCATACCAACATGTAATCCAACACACAATCCAAGACACAATCCATCACGCAATCCATCACGCAATCCAACACGTAATCCAACCTGCTATCCATCCAACACGCAATCCAACATTGATCCAGCATGCGATCGAACACGCAATCCAACACTCAATTAAACACGCAATCCAACGCGCAATCCAACATGCAATCCTAAACGCACAATCTAACATGCAATCCAACATGCAAGCATACATGAAACTTTGGGGCTCCATCTGGCCATAAAATGGGATGTGGGGGCAGGGGATGCTAATTTACTTGGGTTCTACACACACAGACATGATGATGGTGCCACTGCTGCTTCTAAACGGTTGCTAATAGTGTTGCTTCGTTAATTCTGCTAGGCCACATTATTTCAAAGGTTTTCTCCTCATGGCCTCATCCACTTCCTGCCTCTCCCTCATTAGGCGAACAGACATACTAGCAGGTAGCAACAATGTCCCATAAGTGTTAAGTTATGAACTAAAGAATCAATGACTAAGGATGAAACATACAAGGAAGATATAGCTCAACTCTGACCCAATCTATCACAAGTGTACACCACCTAGACTAGAACATTCAAACAATGTAACTGGCTACTTCCATCAAAGGACAAGTCCCATGCCTGATGTGCTTGCCACATACTTCAGCACCCTCTTAACAGCCAACAAGTGAGAAGGTAGGTGTCTCCCAGGCGCAACAAAGCGCACCATGATGATGAGAAGGAAAGCAAGGTCTGGGCGAGTACATGTCATCGGGTACATGAGATAACCCACAAACTCAGGATATGGACCACTAGATTCAAATGACTTGCCTGAAGGTGGAGCTGTGAGCCCATGATCCACAGCAAGAAGGGTGAGTTGTACCTTGGAGAACAGGAAGCGAAATCACATGAGGATATATGCTCGACCTTATGCGACTATGTCAGCGTAATGGTGCGAGCGGCCCTGTCCCTGGTGATCTGCAGGCCAAGGTAGCGTTGCAGCTCACCAAGGTCAGTGCAAGTATGTCTCCTGTGCGGTTCCTCCTTCACGGAGGCCAGACCTGTGCGGTCGGGAGTGGCGAAGACCAGGTCGTCGACGTAAACAAGAACAAAGAACGGGGCCGAGGTACGGCAGACGAATAGCGATGGGTCGGCAGATGACGGAAAGGAATCAAGCGCTGTAAGGGTCGTGCGAAGTGTGTCGTGCCATTCTTGGGGAGCCTGGCGCAGGCCGTAGATCGGACGACGCAGCTGCCACTGAGTCCTAGCAGGGAAAGAGCCCGTGAAGCCCGGCGGACGACGCAGCCAGATCTGCTCACGTAGGCTCCCCTGAAGAAACGATGTGGAGAAGTCTAAGGAGTGCAACTCGTAGTCGCGCTGGGCTGCAACGTGCAGCAACGTCCGAAGAGTGGTCATCTTCAGGGTGGGAGTGAAGGTCTGGAAGAATTCTACCCCCTCTCGCTGACTAAAGCCTCTCGCCATGTAGCGCGCCTTCACCTTATAGAGCCACATGCCACTGACGACGTTCGCCCCAATTGGTAGGACTGCGTCGACGTAGGTGCCCGTGGACCTATAAGTTGCCATCTCTACCTCCTCAGCTGCTATCCAGTACGGGGCGTAAGGTCCCGGGACCGCCTTCGTGTGAGTGCGAGGGGTGGGGATGTTAAGGGCGTCTGCATCCCCCTCATGGGCAAGCAGCATGGCGCAGAGATGAGGAACAACAGCCACAAGGAAACCAAGCTCGAACTGCCTATCCTCTAGGACCTCTACAGGAAAGACAGGAACACCCTCAGTGGACGGAGAACGAGCAGGGCCACTCACCAGGTGAGGGGCGTAGTCAAGGCGGAGGGACAAGGCAAAGGCACTGACAGTAGAAACCAGGGCTGAGACAAACAACGGAGGAGCAGTCAGGTGTGCGACCAACGAGGACGGAACACGAGAGACCACAGGATGAGCAACACGACGAGAGTCTTAAACCGGGTCGGGCGGGACAGGAAGAGACGACTCAGGGGGCGACGGGAGACTCGAACGGGGCAAAACATGAGGACGGAGAGTGAGGTGAAACGGGTGGTCGGCACGGTATCGGGACGGACGAGACTCCGGGGACACAGCACGACTAAGAGGAGCACGACGAGACCACGGGGACGACTCTAGTGACGGGTCAGGGTAAACAGGAGGAAGAGACAGCAATGGACCACGTACGAAGTGTGTAGGTGCAAAGTCAGGAAGGTCACGCAGTCGCTACTGCTCCGCGGCCTCCGGCGTCTGCAGCGGCTGTACCTGCTCCTGCTGCGCTAGTATTGGGGGAAGCTGCTTCTGCGGCTGCACCGACGGCTGTGGCTCCTCCCCTGCTCTCCCCTGCTGCGGCGACAACATCACCTGCTGCTGCGGCCGTGGGTCCTCCTCTGCCCTCTGCTACTGCAGCTATAACTGAACCTGCTGTTGCGGGTGTGGCTCCTCCTCCACTCTCTCCTGCGGTGACTGCAACTGCACCTGCTGCTGCTGCTGCTACTGTTGCTGCTGCTGCTGCTTCTGCGACTGCTACTGCTGCGGCCACTCCTACTGCTGCTGTGCCCTCTCAACCTCTCTTGCTCCTCCCTCTCCAACCAAAGACGCTGTGCACGGGTCAGGAAACGTATAGTGCGCGGGGTAGGTGCCGAAGTGCCAGTACCTCCAGCTCCAGCACCCCCAAAACCAGAACCTCCACCACCAACACCCTGAAGGCCTCCAGTACCTCGCGCAAAAACACCCTCAGTCTCCATAGCAACCAGCTGCAAAGACGAGCAAGGAGGGAACTGCGGGACTGATGGGAAGCCAGGGGGTGAGGTGGGGCGAGGTCCCCGACTCAAGACAGCCGTGTCGTAAGCCAGAGAATCCCAGACGTCGTAGTCAGCTGCTACACCCCGAGAGCCAGTCCAAAGGAAGACTTGCGTCACCTGTGGCCGTGCGTCACTGGGCTACTGATTCAAGTAGTGCGTGGCGTAGCGGACTGCTTGAGGCCACAGGAACTGGGGGGCACCAGCATGGCACATGGAGGTCCGGGCAACCTCCATGACCAGGCCGATGCGTCGCTCCGCGACCCCGTTCTGCTGCGTGTAAGATTGAGTGATCCCCTGACCATGACAGAACACCTCCAAGCGAGTGGAAGAAAACTCACCACAACGGTCCGAGTGTAGACGGAGTCCACGCAAGCCCTGGGCGCCACCCCTCGCTAGTAGCCACGGCTCGAGGATGGTGGGCATGTCGGCCTTCCGTCGCAAGGGAAACAGCGGGAGTAGTCGTCCACCACAATCAGGAAGTAGTGCTCCTGACGTGGGCCAAGGACCGGGGAGGGGCCCCAGACGTCCAAGTGAAGGGTCTGTAAGGGAGCCGTGGTGCGGGGGAAACGAGGAGTGAGGGGCAGTGCGCTGCCGCCCCTCGATGCAAGGGGTGCACGGTGGTGCAGGCGAGCGGGGAAGCACACCTGAGACGAGAAGGGAAGGATGGGTGACCTAGACGGTGGTGCCAGAGGACCGACGGATGGGTGACGGACCAAGAGTCGCACGACACTGCATCTACCAGACCAACGCACTGGCCAACGGACTGGCCAGATGCGAAGGCTAGTGCATTGGAATCGCGTCTAGTCCAAAGCTCTCACGGTGGAGGTCGTCGAGGTGACGGACGCCAGCAGGTAGTGCCAGTACTAGGGCCAGTCAGGATCCGGTACCCGCAGGGACCTATGTCGTGCCCACTGCCGGCTGTGCCGCTGCTAGGGCCGGCACCCCTTGGAACCTCAGGTCCCCACTGCTGGGAGTGCTGCAGTTGCTGTCGCAGCGGCTGGCCCTGCCTCTGCAAAACTCGAGCAGGTGCCATGGCAGGAGCTAGAAACGGGGTACGGGTACGAGTACGGGTAGTGGGTACGGGTAGTGGGTACGGGTAGCAAATACAGGCCGCGGGGACCTGTAGCTGGGGGTTGCAGGGCCAACTAAATGGGGCCCTCGGGGCCTTCTAGCTGGGGGCCGCGGGGGCCTTCTAGCTGGGGGCCGCGGGGCCTACTAGCTGGGGGCCACGGGCCTTCTAGTTGGGGGCCGCGTGGCCTACTAGCCGGGGGCCGCAGGGCCTTCAAGTGGGCGGGGGGGTGGAGGCGCGGGGCATTCTAGCATGGGTAGCTCGAGTAGCACGGACACCACGTGTAGCACGGGTAGTCCAGTGTGGTTGAGTGCGGTTGAGTGCGGTTGAGTGCGGTTGTGTGCGGTTGGATGCGATGAAGTGCGGTTCAGTGCGGTACCGGGCGGTTCAGCAGGGTTGAGTGCGGTACTAGGCGTTTCCGAGGTGCGGGGCGGGTACAAGGTGGGGCGGTGGGTAGCGGGGGGTGGGGGGGGAGGGGTTTAGCAGGTGGGGCGGCAGGTAGCAGGGGGGGGGGGGGTAGCAGGTCGGGCGGTGGGTACATGGTTGGGCGGTGGGTACACGGTGGGGCGGCGAGTACAGGATGGTGCAGCGGGTAGCAGGTAGGGCGGCATGTACAGGGTGGGGTGGCGGGTACAGGGTGGGGCGGTGGGTACACGGTGGGGCAGCGGGTACAGGGTGGGGAGGCGAGTAGCAGGTGGGGCAGCGGGTAGGGGGCGGGGAGGCGACGGGGAAGGGGATGGGGAGGCGACGGGAGGCGACTGGGAGGGGGACGAGGATGCGACTGGGAGGGGGAGGAGGATGCAACGCGGATGCGACGAGGAGGGGATGGGAGATGACGGGGATGCGAT